GATTTTTTCTCTTCTGCCACAGTGGCTGAGGACAATGGACCTCACCAGCTGGAGCGTCTGGTGGAGCTGCTGACAGCTCATGAGTGTGAGGAGCTCGTCTCTGCCATATCTCAACCTGAGGAGAGCATATTCCAACATTTAGATCGACTATCTGCAGAAAGGAACCAGTTACTGCAGTCAAGAAGACGCAGAAACACACGTAAGTATGATAGACACGAGGGTTGCTGCTTTAAGCAGTTTAAATCAGTTCTAATGAATTGATTCTTATTTGTTTTATGCTAATGAAATCCAGCAGTGTGCTGTGTGAAGTGACATCCTGCAGTAAATGAAGAGGTCATGAGCAGCCAAATGTATTTGTTTATCTCCACTGCACACATCAGTCTGCCATCGAGAGGTCTACTCGAGAGACATCTCAACCAAACAAAATGTTGATATAATCCCTTTTCAACAGAAATGAAACCTATCGAGGCAGTGGGACATGATTGTTTAATTGCCTGAACAATTGAAGAGCTGTTGCTACTATTGCTGGCTGCTCTCCCTCTGCCTGTTTGGAGCATGTTTGATATTGTGCATATATGTATGTGTGGGCATGTGTGTGTGTGCATGTGTGTGTGTGCATGTGTGTGTGTGTGTGTGAGATTGTCAGACCAGTAGGCCCCCTGTCGCTCGGCACTTAAGGACTGGCTGCAGATTCACGGCAAGCAGATATACTACGACACGCTGTCTCGTGCATTACAACAGATCGGCAGGACTGACATTGCTATAGGTCAGCCGCACTCAACAGCACTGACACACATGAAATGCGCACACAAAACAACCTACAATTTGTACAATATTGAGTAGAGATGCACAAAATATTGTTATCGTAATGGTTATCAGCTAATAGAATTTCTTTAATTTATCAGTATTATTTTAAATGTATATTTTAATTGATCCGATATTTAATCATGCATGCTTATTACACACACAGCATATTTATTTATTCTATATCATTGATATTACCTTTGTCATCGTCTAATGCTCATTTAAAGTTAATCTTTATAAACACTTATGATTTAACACCACTGTGAAAAGTAATCTTTAACCAATCTTAAAATGAAT